TTTTTTTTTTTTAGAGTTATTGCTGTTAAAAATTATCAGGAACGTGTGCGTTGTATTGTTCAATTAATAATGAATAATAATAAAGTAATTTAATTTATTTTAATTATTTTCAAATCAAACTTTTATGTACTTTTTTTCATTTGTTTTTTTTTAATAATTTTTTTTTCAAATGTTTATTTTAGGTGCATTTAATGAATTGTCCTCAATGGAAAAAAGAGTATGGAGATGCAATCATTTGCATTAATGAGTTAAAGCTTGGTTTTATGGCACAATCTTGCAATGCACCAGGTTTTTCAACGTTGGTTGGAAATTTATTTGGAATGCGAAGTAATATGGTAGTTGTTTATTAATCTAACTTTGTCCAATCTGTAAACAATAAATCTATTTTGTTTTCAGTTTTTCAAAGCTTTTATTTGCAACAAATAAAATTATTGATAAACTACTTTGACCAGTCTTTTACTAAAATAATAATAAACAAAAGTTTATTTCTCTGCATACTTCTGCCTATTTTAATAAAATAAATTTTCAATTAAAAAAATATTTTCTAAACTTGCTGTTATCAAGTCAATTTATTTAATTTTTTTTTAATTCACCTCCCCAAGACAGAGAGGGCCACTGCAATCAAGGAGGCTACTATAATTGTGGTTACAAACCTCTCTCAACTCTATAACTCTAAAATAGGACCCTTGACAAACAAGACCACTGTACAGAAAAACAAGTTGAGCGTGGTACATCTAGGGACATGGTTAAAATTGAACTTGGAACTTCTTGCTTATGAGGCAAGCAATCTACATCTACTCCACTACCGCATTTAATGCAATAATATTATAATTATAATTATACTTATAATAATTAGGTAAGAAACTGCATTAAATAAAAAAGAAAAAGGTTTCATATTTTTACATGGAATAGGTTTAAAGATGTAGAAAAGTATACTCAACATCGAGAACAACTCTGTAGTTACTTTTAATGAAAGAAGAATTTAATTTAGCATGAGCATGCTGTTCTTAGGCAAGACAAAAATTTGTTTGATTTTTGTTGGCTTATATACTATATATACATTAATTATTTTAAAGTGTTTTTTGCTGTTTTTAGCCCCTCTTCCCCCATTTTTATATTTTATTGCATTTGTGATCCTTACTTTTTTCTCTGATTATAAACACGCTCTTTTTTTTGTAATGTTTGTCTAAAATGCTTAAATGGACAAGATCCCCTTGAATTTACCTTCTTGCCCCACATATTATACTTAGTATTTGGTTCGGATTTCAAAAAATGTTTTCCCACGCTTTACATTTTTCTTTTGTTACAAGACAAATACTCTTGAATAAAAAAACATTTGAGTGACAAGACATTAAACCTTCATTTGAGTGACACGACATTAAACCTTCATTTGAGTGACACAACATTAAATCTGGTTTGGCCTGACTTGGTAGTCTTTTTGGCCACTCTTGTGGAAGTAGCACTATTATTGTTTTGTTTAAATTTTTGAATAAGCTAAATAAAATAAAAATTGTTTAAAAAAATTATTAACTTATATTATTACAATAATAATAAATAACTTTACTTTATAATTTCATTAATTTAACAAAAAGTATTATAAACTTTAAATGTCTTAGGTTTCAGAAGATATTCCAGAAAATGAGCAATGGAAAATAGCTTATATGTTAGGCGCTTGCAATGAAATATACTGCAGTTATCTTTCTAATTCATTTGTTGGTATGACTTTTCCTCAGGCTGTTGAGTAAGTATTGTTATAAAAGCTTTAAATTGTTATAATCAGCATGGTATGTGTCAAGATAACTTGTTGTTCAAACGTAGTTTTTTATATAAATTACTGTGAACTACTCAAAAACATACACACACACACACACACACACACTTCCTAAGATAAAAAAACATATTCTTTCTGAAATATTACTGGGTTAAATTTTGAAATTATAGCGCACATAGTATTAGTATAATGCCCATTTCAGTGATAGTTATATATTATTAGATTACATTATTAGGCTGTGTTTTGAAAAATTGAAGTTGCTGCTGATTGCAATTGAATTAAAGACAAAAAATGGAAAAGAGTAAGAGTTTTATATTTAAACTTTTCAAAAACATTAACAGTAAAATTTAAATTTTTTTTTTTTTATATATAAATTTTCCAAATCTTATAATAAAATGTTAAAAAGTGAAATATGTTATATCTATTAAATATTTAAAGAATTTATAAGAATTATAATTTGTTGTATTCAATAGCAATACTTATAAAAGTATGGCATATCACTAAATAATACTATAATATATTCAATAACAATACTTAAATGGTATGCCATACTTATAAAAGTATGGTATACCATTTTGTTCAATCAATTCATTCACCAATAATATATTCTCAGTGTTGGCAAAATATGAGTTTTGTTTTAAAACTTGCTCAAAACCTCTTTGTGTTTTATATCAATAAATATATTTCTTATTAATTGAGCCAGTTAGCATAAATTTTGAGCGTCAAAACAATTGCACATTGTCAAACAATGTGATTTAATATGAAACTATCTTGGTGCATACTTACATAACATACATACATAACTTTTGTCGGCATTACTAAAGAAATATATAAATGTAGAAAATGGTTTGCTCTTGTGAGTAACCCAGCAAGATAAGTGTTTCCAGGAGAATTTTCAAATTTTGAAACCGATATTGAAATTTTGAACCGATTTTGAAACCTGATAGATAAACAGATTTTTGATCTGAGTTCAGTGTACTGAACGCGTGTGGCGTGTGGCGTGTGGCGTTATCAACAATCAAATGATTTTTTATTTTTTTCAAAAGTACTATTACTAAATTAGTTAAATCTGTTATTTTTTTAACAATATCTGCTTTAAATGATGCTTGGCCAGAGTTTTTTCATTGATCAACTCAAACACATGAATGTGCGAAAGTTTATTTAAATGGCCACAAACAACTGCGTTAGTTCTGTGTCTTTCAATTTTATCACTCCTCCAAACTTACCAGTTTTTACTACAGTTGCATCACGCAACTTTTTTAGTTGCATCACGCAAGATAGCATTTAAAGAACTACTACTGCCAGTTTTAAACTGAAAAATAAAATTGAGAATTTCATCCAAAAAGCAACAAGAAGTTTCATTAATAGGTGTTATACTATCTCTATAGCTGCTGCTTGGTTCTCTTACTATTGTATTGTTCTTCTTAAACTGTTCTGTAGTTATAATTGTATTGTCTTTATTTCCATCACCATTACATTATAACTTTCCATTCACCAATACATTTTATTTTTCCATTCACCAATTCATTATAATTTTAGATTTTAACATTTTCTCCCAATTACATTTTTTGTCCAACGTGAAGTCTTTCTCGTTCTATTTTTTTTTTATCATATAACTCATCATTATTAGTATAGTATTCTCATATCTTGTAGAGCAGCATTAATAATAGCAGCAGTTGCACTGCAACTGACTCGATGACAGTCTGCTACAATCATTGTAGCAGATTGTGATGTAATAAAGATGAAATCCTATTTTGATTACATTTGTGTTAGGCAGTTATTAGATTCATAAGGTTATTTTCCTCATTAGATTTATCTAAATTGATACTTTTTTCAGATTCATAAATATTATTATCAGTAATGCGATCCATCACTTTCTCAACATTTTTATGTGTATCTAACTGCTGTTGCCTTATTACAAACCTTTTTTTTCATGTTTTTTTTTTATGTTGAAAATGCATTTGTAAGTATGATCAAGTGGTCTAAGTTGATTTTTGCAATGCTTTTGTTCAACAAAAATTGACAGAATTGCTGGGTGTACAAAACACTGCTATGATATAATGAGTTGCTTTTTATTAATCATTGCTTTTTATTTTCAATTCAATTCAATACAATTATGAATCATTGCTTTTATTAATCATTGCTTTTTATTTTCAACTCAATTCAATACAATTAATAACCATTGCTTTTATTAATCATGCTTTTTATTAATCATATAAATACTATTTTTAATTACTAAGAAAGAAAATATATACATTTATATTATAAAATATATAACAAATGCAGATGTGAAATGCATTAAATAAAATAATATTAAAATTTACTGCAACTTGTGCAAATTGTTCTAAATTGACATAAATTTTATTATAGCAAGGTTATTCAGGTTAATAGATAAGTGTTTAGATTAATATAGGATGTAAAATCCTATATTAAAAAAAAATATCTAACTAACTTAGAAATTAGTAATACATGAATTAAATAAAATTTTTAAGAGATTTAATAAAGAAATTTAAAACTTTTTCATTTTTTTTGAAAATTGTGGTGTATTGTGCAATCCTTAGGTGTGCATGTAAATTTTTTTTATATGGTTTATATAGCCCATTATACCAATTGATAACCACCAATTAGTGCTGCTTGTCAAAATTTAAAAAAAAGTATGGTTATGTCCACCCTATTGCACAACATGATTTTACTAATAGAAACTCTTATATGTTTTAAATTTTGAACCAAAAGTTTTATTTGATGGTGTTTCCCATAAATTTTATGGTTTTTCAAATGTTTTGTCTTGTCTCATTGGATAAACCAATTGCTTTGGGTTTAAAATAAAATGAAGCATGAAGCACCTAATAATTGAACTCAAATAAAAACAATTGGACCGAAACACATCTGATTAATTTAATATGATATAAATAGAGAAGATAAGATAAAATAGAGTTTGACGGAAGAAGATTTTCACCGTTTTTGCACAGGTTCCTTTTTCCAGAAGTTTATTGGTGGTATAAGTGGATCCATCCTGTAGGTAGTCAAGTATACCTAATTTTAGATAAGCCAAATATAAATTATGCCATGCCCTACCATGTTTGAAACAATTTAGGAAAACAATAATGGACAAAACCATCACAAAACCACAATAGGACAAGTCTACATCAATGTTCCCTAAAGTAAAAAGACACTCATCACAAACTGTAAATGACCAACATGTAAAGAAGAATAAAAACGACATTTTGATGGTAATGGTAGGAATTATGATTCCTGGATGGAGGTGTTAAATGCTTACAACCACCAATTTTCTACAGGTTGGTCGAATACTGTATAGAGTTTTTTACAGGTTGATTGAATACTGTGGTTTTATGATTTCTGTGATGTTTTACAATGATAAATTTTATGATACTGTTTGGCAACAATGTTGTACAATTACGTTTTCCAATAATGAGTTTTAATGAAGCTGTTTTCTAATAATGAATTTATATGATGATTTCAATGTTTTATAATAATGAATTTTATGATGCTGTCTTGCAATGATAAATTTTATGAAGCTGTTTTAAGAATAATAAATTTATATGAATTTTTATGATGATGTTTTATAATGATGAAATTTGTGATGCTGTTTAGCAACGCTGTTTTATAATGATGAACTTTGTGATTCTGTTTTACAATGATGAATTTTTATGTTTTAATGATTTTTCTTTTTACTTGATGTTGCTGCTACTTGCAATTTTGCTGTTTCGCTGTTTATACAAAATGTTAATTTACTGATTTTGTTGTTTTGCAGTTTGTTCGAAACTGTACTGATTTTCGAGTACTTCTTTAAAAGACTTTTTAGCTGTTTTGATGCTTTATCTGTCTGAGGACTTTTTCCTTTTCGTAAGTAACTTTAAGAAGATAACAACCAATCAAACCAATCAAAATAGGATTGACTTATAATTGACAACACTTACATTCAGCAAGGCTATTCATTCAAGGCTAAAATCATTATCATTCATTCAAGGCTAAAATAATAATCAATAGTTAAACAAAGCATTGAAGCATCTAAAAGTCGATTGAGAACAATTGGACCAAAACACGTCTGATCAATATAATATGATATAAATAGAGAAAAGGAAGAAGAATTAGAGATCAATGTTGAAAAGAAGAGAAGGGGATGGAGATGATATAGAAGAAGAAGAGATATTAGGAAGAGTTGTGTATAATATTAAGTATAAGGAACATATGTTTTATGTAAAATATTATCTGTTATAATAGTTGGAGAGTTTATATTAATACAGAATAAATTATAATTAACTAATAGTTGTTTAGATTTATTACTATTAGCTGCTAACCTAATACAAAGAATTAAGGTTCAGGGAGTATATTTACGTTAATAATAAAACACTACTGCGTTATAAAGTGAGCGCTCTATAACTACCACATGTGGTTTACCTGGCAAGAGTATGCTTACTCATGTGGTTTATCTGGCAAGAGTATGCTATTAAATCCTCTTGGTTCTAAGCCAGAAATCTAACCGCTGCACCATGGCTGCTTTAAACAAATTTAATTATAATTAATATAATAATGGTTAGTTAAAATTACATATATAAATGTACATAGATTAATTGTGTGAACATTTTTCACACTATTTAAATTTTAAATTAAAAAAAAAGTACATTTTTACAAAATTCTTTTATCTGCTTCTATCTTTTATCTGCTTCTATCTTTTATCTGCTTCTATCTTTTATCTGCTTCTATTCTTTATCTGCTTCTATTTTTTATCTGCTTTTATCTATTATCTGCTTCTATTTTTTATCTGCTTCTATCTTTTATCTGCTTCTATCTTTTATCTGCTTCTATCTATTATCCACTTCTATTTTTTTCTATCAAATTAATAGTTGAAAAGTATTTTTGTTAAATGCAGTAAATTGCATTATTTAAAATTTCGGATGTTTACTCCTATTGTTTAAATACATTATTAGATTTGTAATAAATCCCATGGATAAAAATTTAAAACTGAATAGAAATACGCGTGGTTTCTTTTTGGCTCAAAATAACCGAGATACAGAAAGGTAAATCTTTTGCTGTTATCAAAAACTATTTATTATTATATCATTATTTACTAAAATTATTTGTTTATAATTTTATTTCAATAAATTTATTACTTGTTAGAGCACTTCGATATTGTTCATTATGTCACAAAGATCTTATTGATCCTGACAAAATGGTCAAATGTAAATGTAGAAAAAGTCAGTTTTTAGTATTTTGTGCCAATATGCTAAAGTATTTTACTTTTATTTCTTAACTATTTGTACAATAAGTTCAAAAAATATTCTGTTGTTATTTTTATTAGATAGAGTAAATGTACAGCCTTCAGATACAAGAGTTGAGATTGATCCGCTGTATTTACTTGAAGTAACTCCTGAAGATGAAAAGAAGGGGTAAACTTTTTTTTTGCATAAACAGGTTTTAAATATTTGTTTATAACATACATCATGTTTTTCAGTTGTTTATTTTTTATTTTTCAGTGCACAAGCTTTAACAGATGATTTTTTTTCTAATGGAAACAGACCAAAATTTGATCAAACTGGAACATTTTATTGGTGTGAAAGTCGACCATTTTCTGCAGCCAAAATGGTAAGGTTTTCATTCAAGTCTTTAATTGAATTTAAAATAAACACAGGTTTTTTAATTGAGGTTTTCTGTAAAAACTACATTTTTTATTTACTTATTTAATTGGTCACCAAAAAATTTTGATGCGTCACAAAATTTTTAGGTGCTTGATAATACCAATAAAAGTAAGAAAGTAGCTTCTTTGAAGAAGTTTTTTCATAATAAAGTTCTCTCTTGCATTTAAAGAGCTTTCTTTATTCTTTATTCAAAATTTATTCTAGTATAATACAGAACAATATTAAATTTATAATATCAATTAAAAAAGCACATAATTATGATATGTAAAACAAAAACTTTATATTACCTTTTTAGACATAATTCGAAAGGAAGAATTTGGGATTGGATTTAAATTATTATTACTTGGTTAAAAACTGTGTAAAGAAGTGCAGAAAGCTAAAAACTTTTTTTCGCAAATACTTGTATTTGAAAATTGTTGATAACTAAAGTGATAACAGTCTGTTATAATCATTACCAAAGATTTTTAAAAGCACAAACATTATTTGTTTATGTTGACTGATATGATATTTTTCTGTTCTGAAATATTGACTCCCATTAATTTAGGTAGTGTTGAATTTTTAGAACCAATTCAGGGTTTAAAATGTTAGCTGATAAGTTTTAAAGGTACTTGGCAAAAATACACATTACTTTTAGAGTGTATTAGAGTGCAAAGAAATTATTCTACAAAGAAACTAAGGTGCTCTCCGCATATCTTGGAAAGCTAGAAATTAGTTATAAAATTTAGTTTAATAAAAAATTTTAATAAAAAATTAGCTGGTTTTTAACCATGTTTGATTCAGAATTTTTTATTAAGATTTCTCACTCATTTTTGTCATTTATCTATATAAACTACTTTAGTTTTGTACTGTAAGTCCTTTAATGAATAAACATGTTCACCTATTTAAACATATCAATGCCCGTTTTTAAGTGTGTCAACCAGCTTTAGCTTGGGTTCTTTGGATGTGGTTTAATGTTGAATAGAGGTCAAAGATGAAAGTTGATAGAGCTGTTGTGCGTCTCATGCTACAGTTTACCTTTGACTTTGCATTTCAACTTGTATTTGAGTTTTAAATTATATTATGTTTAAATCTCTGAAGTAAATTTCCAAATTACCTAATCTAAAATTTAATAAATTATTTTGGGCTGTAGTACCCCCAAGTACCCCCTAGTACCCCCGAAGAAGGTGATTTTTAAGTAATTGTAAGTTTTTTGACAAAAATAGTCAGGTAATCAGGTACACAAATAACACAATTCAGTCGAGTGAATTTTAGTTTTAGGGACCTTTTTTGTTTTTTAAAGAACCATTGGGGTACTTTTTAAGGATTCATTTTATTTGTAGAATCTGAGAGTGCTTGTGTGTAAACTAGAGAACAACAAAATGCCTATTGGGACTTCCTATTCTTAAATATTTACTAAAACAAGTATTTTAAGAGGTTGCACAAGTATTTAGCAATATTTTGAGGTGATTTAAAGTATTTTTAGAAGTTGCACAAGATCTTTAAACATCAAACAGATCTTATATGTAATATAATAATCATGTTAGGTCTCAAGTAAAGCAAAACTTTTAAAGTTTTAAAAACTTTTTAGACTTTAAAAAATTTTTAGATTTTAAAAAATGTTTAAAAATAATTAAAAAAACAGTATTGAAAATTTTTTTTTATAACTAACTATAAAAAATTTAATTTTTTAATTTTTTTTAGGAAAAGTTTCTAACTCTTATAATTTAAACTAATAATTTCAATATAAAATGGTTGAAAGAGAAAATTTAATTAAAATATATAACAAAATAAAAGTAAACAAAAGTCTTTTTTTTATTTTAAAATTTATAATTTTTTGTAGTATTTAATGTTAAAAGTTTACATTTTTGTCTTTGAAAAAGTGTTATTTTATCCAATTTTTAAATAATCTAATATTGAATAGACATTAGAGGAGGCAGCATCTGAGAAGTTTTACAACCATGTAGTTGTCTTGGTCTTATCAACAAAGTATTCTCCATCATTAGAGCTTCATCGACTTGTAAGTGTTTACTAAGATTTAACTAAATGTAAAATGTTTTTTATAAAAAAAAATAACAATAAAAAACAGAATTACAATAAAAAAATAAAGTATAATTTAGGTACTACCTTTGCGTGCAAGCAACATAATACCAACAATGCTTAAAAAGATTGTCATACTAGGAGATGGTGAATTTTTACACAGAGAGGTTTTTTTTTTATACAAAATTTGCTTATTTTAATAATAGTTTTGCAAATACTAAATGAAAAAAATGAGTTGAAGAAAAAATATCCTATTGTTCTTTAATATTATTTACATTTAATAACTAATTTCTGTTGAATTTGGTTATTAAATCACAAAACGTTGCTTTATTATTGCTTTTGCTCTTCTGGTTTTTTCTTTTTTGTTTGTTATGAAATTTTCAGGATAAAGTTGATTACACTCTGATTACTTCATTCTGATAAACTTTTTTAAAAAGAATTAATTAACATTTAAAGTTAAGGCTAAATAACATAAAACAGTTAAAATTAAGAGACACAATCAATTAAAAATAATTAACTCAATCAATTATATAGCTGCTTCTTTGGTGAGACATTG